CCTTCAAAAATAAGCTCAGTCTCCACAGCAGGAGGCATCTCCATCTTCACAGAAGGCTCATCTTCAGGTAGGGGAGGTTATGTAACAGCCTCCTCTTCCAGAATACAGGATATGGGTTTCTCTTCTGCACAAAAGACTGAATTACAAGCAGTCATATGAGTCTTACAAGATTATTCATCCACTCTGGTTAACCTCTTTTGAGACAGCACTTATGTCCATTGTGTAATGCACCAGATTGAAACTACCACTATATGCACTGGTGAAGAAGATCTTTTTCATCCACTTCCTGCTCTCCAAGTTGTCACATGGTCATGCCACATTCCCATGTAGTTGGCCATATACGTTCTCATTCACAAATGCCAGGACCTCTCACTGAGGGGAACACTGCTATAGACAGATTGCTGGGTGCTGTCACTGTTACTCCCTCAAATACCATTCAACAGGCTTCTGCTTCCTGTGCCACCTTTCGTCAAAATGCTTCTGCGTTAGGCAAGCCGCTCCATTTGACCCAGAAACAGGTCCAAAAAATTGTTAAGCAATTTTCTTCATGTGAAATACCCTTTCCCTTACCTTCTGCGGGGGTCATTCCCCAAGGGTTACATCCCAATTATCTTCGGCAGTTGGATGTCACTTACATTCCTGATTTGGTTCTTTATGCTAGGTCCATGTTTCAGTGGATGAGGTAGAACCTCTCTGGTCGAGGGACCTGGGTCCATGGCAAGCGGAGGCATGGTGAAGAAAGAGACTCCGGAGACCAGGCTGATGGCACAGATCTATTTCATTGCGGAAGTACCAGGCAATTTATAGAGCAGGCTAGGGACGTGGCAAAAGGGGGCGTGATTATCAAGGGACGGCACCGAGGGAGGGGCATAGCGGGGCAGCCTGGGTGGGGCGACTCACTCGGTTTGCCGAGGACATGACTAGTCTAAGTTTGTTCAGACTTGCTCTTCCGCCACGGCTGTCAACCAGACCTCTGGGCCCCTGTTTCCCACAAGTGGACACTTCCTCAGGGTTTATTTTTCCTTCTTCCCACACTAGTGAAGTGGCTAAACATGTCATTGCTCATTGTTTGGCTGAGTTGAGTACCCTTGGCTGCCCAGGGACACTTAAAACTGATAGTGACCTGCATACATAAGTGCTGCTTTCCAACGGTTTTGTAAACTTTTAATATCCCCTCATCACAGTGAGTCCTTATAACCCTCAAGGTGAAGGAATTGTTGAACATGCTCACTGTACAATCAAAATTCAAGTACAAAAACAAAAGTGGGAATCTTTCTGTAAAAAATTCACACCACATAATAGACTTCACTTGGCAATATATACTATTAACTTTTTTTTATTTTAAAAATAAGAGGAGGAAAACATGAACAGACAGACAACCTTTCACAAAATAGCAAAAGAACAGTACAGACAACACAGAGTTACAAACAAAGTGGTAGGAAATTAACAATGCTTGTTGTATTACATATTGATATCTTCAAAGTGGTTTCTCATGAAAACAGATAGAGACATGCAATACTGATCAATGAAGGACTCATTGACAGTTTCTTTCAGCAAAGAAATAGAAGACAGTAGAACAACTATGTTAACTATCCTGTATATACATACATACAAAATTTCTCCTTCTTTTCCTTCTCTTGTCCCACATCCCAGTTGCCCTTTTCCCTTGGGTGTTTTCCTATTATTTCATAATGTCTATCATACCTCCTAGTTTAAATTAACTCTTTCAGGTTTTACACTAGTGAAACAATGTGGTGCTTGCACATGCAGGTTTGATTTATTTCACTTATGAGTATGGTCTCTAGTTGTGACCATTTAAGTATAAAGGTCTCGAGTTTGTCTTTCTTTATAGCTGAGTAATATTCCATTATATAAAATTACCACAATTTTCTTATTCAATCCTCAGTGGATGGACATTTGGGTTTCTTAACCTTTTAAATTCTACAAAAGATGGATGTATAGCAGCACAAAGACATGTCCATCAGGGAAAAGATAAAAGGCATGGAAGGGTCTTTGGAGAGATATCTATACTGGACAATGTCTGTTTCTTACCTGGGGTAGAGAGTATGATTGTATTTCTTCAGAGAACACTGAGAGACCTATTTGGTTACCAGAGCATGCTGTCTGGCTGTATCATGGACTCAGATGTGGAGGAGGAGTTGGTTCTACCTTTGGGGAGCTGACATACAGTTCTGTGACAGCGATGCATCAAAGACTGTTTTAGAACTGATAGACAAGGATAAGGCCAGATCTATCTTGGGTCTATTGAAAATATTGACCCAGAATGCCCAGGAGAAGATAACCAGAATAAAAATTAAACATCTGAATAGGTGATAGAGTATAGAGGTGTAACTGAGCTAAAAGTTACCAGTTTTCTTTTTTCTTTTCTTTTCTTTTCTTTTTTTTCTTTTTTTTTTTTTGGTACTGGGAATCAAACTCATGACCTCACACTTGCCAGGCAAGCACTTATGCCACTGAACTATATCCACAGTCTCACCAGTATTCTTAAGACAGAATAAAATTTAAAAATGTATATTCTTTATAGATAAAAGATTGTATTCTTTCCAAATTCTTCTTCTAAGAGATCTCTGCTAATTGACCAACAACAAAATCAGAGTAGTTTATTTATAATTATAAATTTCTAAAATTATGAGTTAGTATAATTTAAAATTATAATTATATAAAATTATAATTATATATAAAATAATTGTATATCAAATTATAATTTAAAATTATAATACAGTTACTATAATTTAATTTGGTCAAAAATATACTGGGGTGCACTGTGATTTTGTAAAGATATTTGTTTGTTTGTTCTGTGTATGTGTTTATTTGTTTGTGTGTCATTCCATGACCAGCTGTTCCTCTTTTTATTTGACCTCAAAATTTTTTTGGTTTTATCATTTGTTCATAATAAATTGTGAGTTACAGAGTTAAAAGCATGCTTTGACTTGAGTTACCAGCTGGTCTAAAGGATATCAAAATTGACTTTCTCATAGCTCAAGAGAATATTGAAGATAATTAACAAAAATTCATAGCTGGACATCATAGCTCACACCAGTAATGCCAGAACTTGGGAGATTGAGGTAGGAGGACAGTGTTGAGTTTGAGGACAGCCTCAGCTACAAACTGAGTTTAAGGCCAGCCCGAAATGCATAGTGAAACCCTGTTTCAAAAAAAAAAATTCCTCAGTGTGTGGAGAGATTATTGGAGAGGACTCCAATTTGTAAATAGAGGTGCAGCTAACATTTACTTGTTTGTAAGTAGCTCCCAATAATCCCCATAGTCTCTTGGGTTAGATAGAGATGATTGGTCAAAAAGGTTATGTTATGTCAAAATGAAAAATTAAGTATGTTACAAAATGTCATCATGATTTTCATGCAGTAATATTATGTATGGTTTTGATTTCTAAATGTCTATGTAAAAATATGTAATTATCATCTGTTAACATTCTGTAAGGATTTAGATATTAGGACACCCATTGTAGTTAAAAAATACCAGTTCTATTTTATGTTCTAAAGTGGTTAATATTCAGATAAGATAGTAATATTAACCTTACTGCCTCCATTATAATGTAATGTTATTAATCTTCTCTTCTGAATGTTCAACAACTGATGTTTGGAGGCCAAAAATTAGAGAGATAGATTGGGCTAAGAGGTCAGTCAATATTTTGACTCTAGCCCCCTGAGGTCAGTGAGAACTCAGTACATAAGAAAATCTCTGCTGCAACACCCTGTAACTCCAATGATTCCCTGATTTTTTGATCGAAGAGATTATGGGACCACAGAGCAAAGTGATTCACAAGGTATGCTGTGCCTAAGGAGAGTCACCAGGAGAAAAGAAAAAAAATCTCTCACACTGTCACAGAAAGCAACTTGACACACAGCAGACACTGACAGAAGAGCTAAGAAATGCTGTACATGGTTCCAAGGTAAATCCTGAGGCAATTTAACTGACTTTGATAGCGAAAAGATCATTTTTTAATTTATTTATGTCTCACCTTAACTTGGTATTAAACATCCAGGAGGAAAGTATAACCATGAGATGGGGAAAGCAATGTCATAATACTATGGTAGCTGTAAAAGGTTCAAATCACTAACAACTTCTGATGATTACCACATTACTGTTAACACATTACTGTTATGGACTATTGGACTGTGTAAGGATAACTTGCTGTAAACAGGTACCTAAAACCCTTGGGCTGGAAAGCTTTAACCTGGAGATAGGAGGATGGGAGGAGAAGCCACACAAGTCTGGCTCACTTAGGAGAGCACAAGGGACATAAGTTAAAAGATGATATCTAAACATTCTCTGAATAATGTATTTTTATCTGTGTGACCAAAAGATCCATCTCCTCAAAACCTAAAAAAAATTTGACGGGTAGAACAACAAACTAAAACTGTGTTTTTAGTAAATTATAACACCCATTTTTGTTGTTTCTTATCTCACAATTAAATTTTTATTTTATTTTATACATTTAATAAACAATCTTAAAATCTTACAAAGTTGTGAGAAAATCTGGTGAATACAATGATTCAACTACCAAGATTAAACAAGTCACTGACTTTGATGCAATATGATTTCTAGTTGAATACCACCTCATCCACTTGTGGATGAATACATAAGCTCCTAATGAATTACTGATCAAAATATTAAATACAAAAGATTGCATGTTTTATAATAAACACAGAAAACTCTTGCTGTCACCTAGGGAAATATTTTTCAATGAAAAATCATTCATGTACAATGAAATATTGGAATTAAAAATTTCTCACTAAAACGTTGCAATACTCATTTATAGAATAATTATGTAATATTTCATTATTAGTTGGTATTAGTTATTGGTCATTATTGATCACAGGCCATTTATTTTCCTCACCACTCTCTCAGAGTAGAGTGGTTTGATAATTATGTTCACGATGCTCTCAGGGAGTGAACTGAAAAACAACACAATTTTCCAAAACCATGCGAAATACATGTTCCTCAGGAAATTAAGCAAGTTACATGATCCTCATAACATTACAAGTTTTTGCATTCCTTAAACAGTCAAGGAGACTGGATATGCTTGGGTGATGTTTCATGAGCAGAAAAGGGCTGACTGTTGGGTAACCCCCACTGACTAGAGCAGCAACATTCACAAGCAAACTGTTAGGATTTTTATACAAAGTGAAGAAAGCTTGGAAAATAGCAGAGAGGGAATAAAAATAGACGAAGGTGATGACCAGGAGAATGATGGTTTTGGTGGCCCTGGTCTCAGGGGAGGATCTGTGTGTCAAGTTGGACTTGTGAACATGTTGCATTCTTAGCTTGTGCCTGTACAGGATAGAAATCATGGAGCTGCTGGTCCAGAGCATGAGCCCCACACACAATGCATCAGGGAGGAACATTACTGCAGCATGCAGGATTGTCCTAGACTTTTGTTGGCGAATAGTAGAACAGTATCCAAACTCTTTTCTGTAGGTGATGTTTTTATGGCCCCATCTGTCAGTAACATACATAAGAACAATTGTGTTTAACAGCATGTGGAGGATCCAACAGAGGATGCTGAAGGTGCTTACATGCTTGGGGGCTGTTAGCTTAAGCTCTGCCCACCTGGAGCTCCTAGGGCTGATTGTGATCACCTGGAAGACACTCAAGAGGCAGGTACTGCTGATGGACACACCTCTGCCTACTCTGTGAACATAGAAAACAAGTTTGCATCCCAGGTCACTGAGGAAATCTCTCAAGCCAAATGCTGCCATTGTTTCAGGAATTCCTCTAAACAGAATGACCAAAGAGTTGGCTATGACCAGGTGCTTGAGAATCAGATCTGTGGACCTCAATCGACACTTAGTGAAATGAAGGCAGGTACAATGGCACAGAAGAAAGAAATTCCCCAGTGTAGCAATGAGAGTCTGAACTAAGTAGACCATTGCCATTGCCAAATCCCTGAAGGCCATTGAGCCTGGTCCTGTGTGTGATATTTTTCTTCAGCCCAGAGATTCCTGAATTGAAATGTGCAGAATGGCCTATATTGAACAATAGGAACTGTTATCCAATTCTCTACCTCATAATGTACACTCAGAGTTATTAATGTGAATGTTTTATTTGTATAAGTATTTTCCAGTGTTAAAGTTTGGAAATGAAATACAATTAATAGTATAAAAACCCATGTTAGGGAATCCATGGCACATTTTTTATTCTGACAGTTTTATGAGGCAAAACTGTGATTTTTCTCACTGTGAGATGAGCACACTTTCTGAAGCAGATAACTGGGTGATTTGTCTAGTTCCCACCCTACTTAGGTGCATATTGGGACTTGAAGCTGGCTGTGGTAAATTACATCACGTCTACCCTCACTGCTTGTCCTAGAGCATGTGACAATTTTTGCTTGGATAATCTTGATCTATGCAATTTTAAAATCCTGTGTTCTCGTTTATATGGGGTGGATTATTTTTGTTTGTAAAAATTTTCCACCTATGTGCAAATGTGTATTGTTCAAAGCAATATTCACTATGGGAAATTTCAGAGTTCACTATAACATGTGGGGACAAGGCTTTTAATTTCCTGCCACACATCCCTGTAACTCAGATTACTTTTCTTTGGATGGAAACAGGAAATCCATGCAGTCTTAAGTTAGAGGCAAAGTTTCATTAAAATTATCTAATCGTATTATGCTGTCTCATAAACCATGGGCTCTTAAGCACAAATCCATAATAATATATTTCAAGTAAGAACCAATTTTCAATGAAATTTCAAGCATTTGTTTACCATACTTAAATATCTCAATTAATGAGGCAACAAAATGATTTCAGTGAATTATTAAGATACAAATATGTTTGCAATATGGAAGCTATAATTATTAAACATTTGTGTAAATAGAAGTAGCAGAGCACACTATTCTTATATTCACACACTCATTTCAGAGTGACAGATGTCTCTGAAACCTGAGAGTACCGCTTGCCTAACTGCTAGGGTGTGAAGACAACTCTCATATCACCAGCCAGATGTTCTCAGCAGAGACAAAGGCTCTGTCTCCACTCTACTCCTGCTGCCTCCTTCCTGTGCCGAGTGGGAGGAATCACTTCTACTCCTGCTGCTGAGATTCAGATGCAGCACTTCCAGGCTGACTACAGAAGTGTCTACTGTGAGCTTAGATATTTTGTGCACACGTGTATAATAAAGTTGAAAATTGAGTCTCTGAGTCCACTTAAAACATTAATTTTCAAGACACAGTTCCTGGGATCCAGGTTCCACTATCACATGTGTTATACATCACCAATTGGCATCACTGTGAATTCTCCATCATTCTACCAGTATACTCAATGATTAGATTGTGGAGGAGTGTGAGACGCCCCTCTGTTTCTTAGGTCTTCTCATGCTTCAGAGCTTCCACTTCCCTCCCACACATCTCTGGCACTCAGCCCGTCTCAAATCCACAATAACTTTTCTGAGTGTGTTTAAATATACAGAGTGCTGACCCACCTCCTCACCTATCAGATCTGCCTCTGATACTGATATGTGACACACTCACCTGCCTCCATCCACTTACCAGGGCTCTTGCTGATGTGTGATTCCTCTCACACCCAGTGTGTCTGTGGGAGAACTGACCAGACCCCAGATATGTGTTTGTGAGTCGGTGACCTCACCTCCCCACAGGGCAGGATTGTCATCCCACTCTCCTCATTACGGTGCAGTCTTTGGGGGAGTGGAGCACCCGTCAAAAACTTTTCCAATTGCTAATTACTAAGACCAATTATAACTTTCCAGTTACTCTCTCCTCAGAGACAGTTGCAAATCCAGGAAAGGATTTTTTATTCCATGACCAAATGAGGCCTGAGGTAAATGAGAACTCAGACAGAAGAGAGTGGGAAACAGTAAGGTCTGACATGTAGGGTCCTGAAAGCAGAATATCAGTGTTTCTGAGAATTCTCTGATACTCTGAGAAGCTCTCAGGACCCACATTTAGTTTTTGCTAAACTTCATGCTACGGGGCGGCATCATCATTTAATAAATGATCAGAAATACAGTCAGAACCAAGATCCCAAAAGAAATTTTCAAGAACATAATGAAAAGGAAGAAATGTTGCTTATAATTTACTTGATAAATCTTTAGAATCAGCAGCACAACTCAAAGAAAATCAATTTGGCAATGTAGATGGCATGGAAAGCTTGTAGGAGCATTTATTTTAGAAATGGTCATAGGTCTAATGTTGAGAAGTTTTAGAGAACCCTAACCACCAGAGAAGCACTGTATGTACAAGACCATTTAAATGAAAAAGAAAATCAGGTGTTGAACAGGAAGAGCCTATCATTTCTTTCTTCAGAATCATACATAATATAAATGAATGTCACTTGCTCCACTCCAGCTCAAGAATGTTTAATGCCGGCCTCTATGCTTCTTGAATCAATGGATCAACATGAGGTGTGAACAACAAGACAACCCACTGGATGTTCCAAGAAATTAATCCGTTAATTAATCCTGGGGCATTATTAAATTCTCTCACCTCAATCCCACTCCCAACATCTCTACTTTTGAAGTCATATATTAGAGACTTAATGGTAATTTTTTACATATGAGATGCACACACACACACACACACAGACAGACACACAATCACTCAAAGAATTTACATGTGGGAGTACATGTACAGTGAACTGCCTTCAGAGGTCGGAGTAGACCTCTTTATTATAAATCCTGCTAGGAAACCAGCAAACTGTATGGGAGAGGGGCTTGTGTCTTCTGTGTGGACTCTGGGCAACACCGTTGTTGAAGGCACGGTACAGGAGTGAGCCCAGAGATTCACGCCTCAGCATCCTGGCAGCACCACCAGGGGCTGAGAGCTCAGGGAGTTTTTAGTCATTCCATGCTCTTCCCATCCACATGGCCCAACCCCTCCTCTCTGTGGGTAGTTTCAATAAGATTCCAAAAACGAACTCCCTCTACTGGCAGGAATGCAAGCGATACCCTATACCTAGTACTAGAGACAGAATGGAATACATAATTTTTCCAGAAAAGAGCTATTTGGACTTCAGAGCACAGACTCACATGAGTCACAGGTGGCCCTGACTCTGCTCAGTGCAAGAGTTGGTCTACACATTAGAAGAAGCAGATGTTATTCCTCGGATTATTCCAGATCGTTGGCACAGACCATTATACACGCTAGTAATTAGTCAATTACAGAGCCTGAAATAAATGATGTATAATCTTAAAATATATATGCAGAATGGTCAGCTGTGTGTTGTCATTAGCTCTAAAATAATTGACAAGACAAACGTTCAAAATAGACTTTTGTTTCTTAAATGCCTTATAAACAGTTATGTAGTTCTCATCATTTCATGAAACATCAGACTGGAACAATTCTATGACATATGTACAGCATGCATCATTGCATTTTATTTGTTTCACTGTATTGTGAAGGTTCTCTGTCCTCTTATATATACATGGTTTAAGCAACACTGAAATGGGCATGTATATTAGCCCTTGTTAAATGCTATAGGTTCACTATGTATTTTAGTGTCTCAATATGCTAATGATAAGAATATTTTGCTTTTTAAATTATTATTCTATCTATTTGGGTGATCTGTAATGAGTGATCTCTTGTATAATTACTTAATCATTTTGGGGCATCACAATCACTGCCTGTACTAGTAGATAAATCTGCTGGATAAATGTCCATCCTGACTACTGACTCAAGAGCAAGACCTTTCTTTCTCTCTTTCCCAACTCCTGTGTCACATTGGCCTAAGAAACACAGCAGTATTGAAATTTGTTCAATTAGTACCACTACATAGGGACTAAATTTTCAAGTGAAAGAAAATTCCATGTCTCCAACTTTAAGTCAAAAGTTACAAATAGTTCAGTTTAGAGGAAAAAGCCTGGTTACACCCTGCAGAGAGCAAAAACCAGGCCTTTTGCACAAAACAGCCAAGTTGAGAAGGCAGAGGAAACGTTACTGTCGGAAATGAAATGGGTTAGTTAGCACAGGAATTATAAGGAAACAGAACAGCCTGAATTCTGTTACAGAAAGAGTTTTAGAGGCCAGGAAAAATGAGTTTAAAAGGGAAGTGTAGTGGATTGATAACTGGTGGTCAACTTATAACCCCCAGCTGAACTGAGTAAACATGGTGCTGAGTGTGGGAGGCCCACCTGGGGACTGTTGCCCGCAGCACATGAGGCAGAACTGGAGAAGAAGAAGGAGGCTGTTGGGAGCTGAAAGGCTGTTGGGAGCTGGTAGAAGCTGTGAGGAACTGTTGGTTCCATTGGAGAAGCTCGTCATGCTGGCTTTCCTGATGAACTTGGCTGTTTTCATCCTCTGAGGAGTTCAGGAAGTTGTTGGCACTGAGAAGGGCTTGGGTTCACTTTGCGGGAGCTCTCGTCCTCACCCTGAGCATTGCTTCCTGGCTGCGGAGTGGAAGAAGGTACTCAGCTCAGTCTCCTGAAGAAGGTTGCTGCGTTGGCTTCCCTGATGGGAACTCAGCTGTCTTCACCACTGGAGGAGCTTGGCACCTCACTGCTGCTGAGGATGGCTGTGGTAACTTTCAGGAGAGCTCTGGTTCTTACTTTATGCATTGCTTCCTGGCTCCAGTGTAGATCCATCAGCCTGCTAGCACAGATCCTTCATCCTGCTGGCACAGACTTCCTAGATGCCACCACTGACCTTTGGGCCTTCCCAGCGCAGATCTGTGAAACAGTCCTGCATGAGACGTGGGCTCTGGGCCTGCAGTTGGACTCGTGGGAGGCATTGTTATGAGCTCTGGGTCTTCAACTGGGCTCATGCAGGACATTATTGCAGGATCCAGGTCCTCAGCTAATTTCCTTGGTCTTAGTGTGTGGACAGATTTCCTCCACTCTGTTGTGTATCATTCTATGGGTGACTATTATAAATAATCTTATAAAATATGTGTCCTGTATTATATTGTTCCCCTTGCAAAAATAACCCCAAAACCATAACAAGAAG